CACTGGACTCACATACAAAACCATAATCTTCTTGCATCCCTTTTGCGCGCCGTCAAGTAAAACGGGCTTTGTGCGGCCCGTTTTGTGCCAGCGAACATCCCCAAGATTGTCGCCGTGTATTTTGCGGCGTTTTCGAGTCCCAGTGCTGTAAGCTTTGATTGCTCGGTGGAAAAAATGTGACACACTTCCATCTTGCCTCACACCTGCTTTTTTTTTTTTTTAAGATTTAAGGATGAGTTTTTATAATTTGATACGAGGAAAAATAACTAAGGTTCCCTCATTCTGACAGTAAAATATAAATGTGGAGGATAAATGAATGAATTGACCTGGCAAATTTTGAGGATGAGTATAGCAAATTCCATCATCTTCCCGAACTGTTGGGATGAATTCATCGATAAAAGGATGAGGCTTTAAATTATCGAGACCAACTTTAGCGAGCAAATGCCAAATGATCTCTTGGTCTGAAGGATCGAATTTCACTCCCCGTGGTAATCCAGGCCATGCATGGACAACCTAGAAGAAGAAAAGGAAAAGAGGAGGACAAGTGAGAAGAAAAAAAATGGTTAACCATTATACTAATTGCGGGACAGTTACAAGAATTTAAAATATAATTCATGGAAATCGACCCAAATGTTGCGAAAACTCGTCATTTTATCTTGAGGGCTGATTCTACTTGTTTTAGTAACAGTAATGCTGAAGAGCAATCAGAAATTAAGACCATTGACGTATCTCAAAGACTCAAACTTTTCTAGTGTCTTGGATGGCTTGTGCTGATTGTGAAGGTACCTATTCCTGTTTCAAATGTCTATTTCATGTATATCTATCGGCAATCAACCCCGATCCAAATTTAGATGGCTTCACTTGAAAAAATAATAGCAATCATAATAATAAGAGAAAGATGGATCAGGGGATATGTTCCTTATTCCCACTATCAAATTCTTGAACATGAGATAATATGATTATATGAATACTAAGAGAAATTGCATTTCATTTGGAAGTATTAAGAAAGGCATCTGGCCATAAAGTAAGGGATGTTTAAATGCATTGGAAACAAATAAAATAAAATAAAACAAAAAAGGACAAAAATCATACATCACTGTTGTCAATAACATGTTGGCAATTTGGACAAGATTTCGTGGGGTTGCTTTTCCAGTTGACTTCTCCTGGGTCTAATGCAGCTGAAGCACTCCTAATTTTAGTCGCTATTCGATTTGGATCAATAAGCCATGATGGCCTGCATGTTTCCAAAAGAAATGAAGTAATGGTTACAACTTATAAGTAGCCGAAAAATCAGCAGGTTCGAACTAATATAAAACAAGCCTAAAGCAAAACCCACGAGTTTTCAAAACAAATGGGTAGCTATAACAAAAAACGAGAAATGTCAAGAATTCGAATAGATATCAGGCATAACGATAATAATAGAAGTCATATTACAGTGGCATAGCTTAAAGGGATCTTTATGCTTAAGATATTTTCAGAAATCTTCCAAAAAATCAACAATCTGATATTCAATCCACAGAGATGGTCCTCAAGTCACTTATGGTTTATTCTAATATCAAACAATTTAATGTAGCTAATTTGCCAATAATATATGAATCTCTATATTCCAATGACCTCGCAATGGCTGAGTATCGTCCTTTTTTCCAATCGATAAAGATTGTGCTGATACTCAACTATCTTGGAACATCCATATCAGTTCATAGTATAATAGCAGAAAATCATCACAATTAGTTTTAAATATTACATATAACATTATTGATGAAGCCAATGACTGTTTGCAATCTTTAGACGAAAACCTTAAACTATTTTTTTTTCACATTTTTTTACAAATAATAAAGGGCAACAAATGACATAATTTAGTAAGCCAACTAGCCAAAAAGTTCAATACTTACCGATTTACTGTAACATGAAGTTTTAAGATTCGCATATAATGAAATATCAAATAAACTTTTCGACCAAGGTAACACTAACTGTAGCTATATCCTTAAAATGGACATATGATACACACTCACAGTCAACACAAAACAAATCTTTACACTTCAAACAGCTCCATTGCAAGTCAATAAACCAACTAAACTAAAACATCAAGCTGAAGTAGGAAGTTGGAAGTAACTTACTTCCCAATCAAACAATAAAGATCAAACCAAAACATGAACTAAATACCAAAAGGCCACATTCAAACGCGTCTACTTTCAAAGCCGTCACGATTTCCGGATAACATAACAGAGATCATCTACAACTACAAATAACAAAAATCTTACAGCACATCACAACAAGGGTCACTCAAAAACATTGAAAAAAATAAGCTCCATTGAAGTTCAAAACACTAAACCCTAAATGAGCTACAGTTTCAACATTATCGCATTTTCAGTTTCTTTAAAGTTGGTACATCAAGATTCGACTAGCCCTAGTAAAGGTCAAAACTTTCAATAAATACATCCAAAAAAGAATCAAACTTTTTAGCAAATAAATCATAGAACATGAAACCCATTACATGGCTCACCTTCAACTTTCATTTTTTAAAGAACAAAATAATGAGAGAAGATGAACTATCATCTATATAATCTCATATGTCAAAACCCAGAAAAAAAAAAACAAAGAAAAATTGAATCTTGAAAAATGATGCAGCAACTGTTACAAGGATCTAAAGATGATTACCCAGACATGGTGAGGATTGAAATTGTTTAGGGGATACACACTTCGCGAGTGGAAGATTGTGTCTTTTTCGGCAGACTTTTGATTCAAATTAATGCGGACAAAACTCGAAAAGACTTGCCTTGATTATTGTAAAAAGTGGATTCCATTAATTATTTTCCACTGCTACTACTCTCTTGTTTCTGCTGTTCCCTTGAGCTTTTTCTAATTTTCATTATTTTAGTCGGAATTTAAAAGAGCATCACTGTTCTTATGATTTGACTAGGGAAACTAGTAGAAGTAGAGATGACCAGGTCGGCACTTTTAAAACTCTTGAGGTAGAGCTTTGTCGCCCTTGTAGTCCTATCCGG